AAACCCACATCCAGCACCCAGACAATAAGCACAGGTGACCCCCAGGGACGTGTGCTCTCCCCTCTGCTGTTTTCACTCTACACCAACTACTGCATCTCGAAGGACCCCTCTGTCAAGCTCCTAAAGTTTGCTGATGATACAACGGTGGTTTCACCCGAGACAGTGACGAGTCAGCTTACAGACGGAAGGCTGAGCAGCTGGTCCTGTGATGTAGCCGCAATAACCTGGAGCTGAACACGTTCAAAACAGTGGACTTCAGGAAGAACCCCCCACCTTATCCCCACTCACCATACTTGGCAGCACTGTATCAGCAGTAAAGCCCTACAAGTTCCTGGGTTCCACCATCTCTCAGGACCTGAAGTGGATGTCCAACATCAGGACCATCATCAGGAAGCCACAGCAGAGGATGTACTCCCTGCGCCAGCTCAGGAAGTTTGACCTGCCCCAGGAGCTGCTGATACAGTTCTACAGAGGAATCATCGAGTCTGTTTGCAGACCCCACACCCCGAACACAAACTGTTTGAGCTCCTCCCCTCTGGACAGCGTTCCAGGTCACTGTACGTGAAGACAACCAGGCACAAGGACAGTTTCTTCCCCCAGGCCATCACTCTGATGAACACTTAACCCACAACAGTATAACTGGACAATAACCCTCAGTGCAATACCTGTAAATATACCTCATACAGATTATACAGATCTGTACAGGTCTCTATTTTTAAGTGCTCTATTTTTATTCCTATTATCTCATTTCAATGAGCATTCCTTTGTCTGTCTGCATTGTTTACTGCCTGTAAACAATGCCTAATACTGCTTATTTTGAATTGTTTGCACTGTTTGTTGCTTGTTAATGCTGCTTATTTTGTTATATTACACAGACTTATGCTGGTTTACTGTTTACTTTCCCATTGGATGGGGATATGTACATACACATTGAGAGCTGATGTACCAGAGTCAAATTCCTCGTTTGTCCAACACACCTGATCAATAAAGCTGATTCTGATTCTGATTTTGATTGTTGCGAAAGATATCCCAGCCCCTGAAAAAGGTGAAAAGAAATCAGAAACGCACAAGACCTATTTGGAGGTACCTGACATTTCAATAAAAGAGTGAGGAAAAAAAAGAAGGTGAGGAGGGTTAAACAGCACTGACTAACAAAGAGTTTCAGCACACTCTCCCAAGGAGACATGCTGCTCTCTGGATGCTAACAGACTCTCTCTCTCTCTGTCTTTCCTTGTCTTTTTCTCTCTCTGAGTGAATGGTGAGTGAGAGGCGTTGTGGAGTTTTAGCGTGTGTTTCAGTGTGAGTGGTTTACTACCTATGTGTGCTTTTCTTCTTTTTCACATTTTTTCATGTGGTGCATCTGTCTGAGGTGGTGTAGTGTTTTTGGGTAGCGTTGCTACCACCTCCAATGGGTGATATGCCTGTTTTGGATGGTGGTATGGAGTTTGAGAAACTAACATGCTGACACGCCGTCAAGCTAGTGCTGGCTGTCAGCTGCTCAGTGGAGGAAGAAAGCCTGGCAGTTGGATGAGTAGTGGGTTATGGCAGTGTGAAGTCTACTTCCCGAATGAATGGTGCTATGAATGGGGTCATCTTTCTGGACATTATAGCTAAAGTTAGTAATGTGGTTGAATTAGCTATACTCATTCAAGACACGTTTATTCCAGTTCTTCTCCTGGTTATTTAGGAAAACGACCATTTCTAAAGCTTTATTAAAAATGATATATTGACTCTCCAGGTACGGATAGCTGGTTTTTCAGTGCATCCTGATAAGCTTACCGCCGCTGTGGCCTCAGGTGTTACTGCTACTGAGGGCCTGAATGGTATTCCTGCTATGAGTTTGGGCGATGCTGTGGCCACAGGCCTGATTAGCACCACAGCTGAGAATGATGGAAGCCTTTGTGTGATTGTGGCTGATCCTAATGGAGTTTCTGTGGGTTTGGCTGCAGTCGCTGATACAAACGGAGCCCCTGCTTTCAATATTGACTGTAGAGGATTGCCAGAAATTACTGATCAGCAGAGGGGAAAAGACAGTAGACAGGATGACACTGCTGTAGGTATGCAAGCACAAAAAGAGTTAGACAAACAAAGTGAAAGCAGGACTGAAGAAGTAGTTGAGAGGCATGAAACAGATCACAGTGTGGTGATTTTATTAAAGATAAGGACATCTGATGGGGAGTTATTGAAAGTATCACAAAAGAGAAAGGATTCAGGAAGCATGAAGAGTTGTGCCAAACCTAAAGTGATTGAAGGCACTCAGGAGGAGACATGTTTGCAGGAATCTGACAGAGAGGCATCGTGGCTATTCTATGGCTAAGATCAGTGGCATTTGCCTAAAATGTCCTACAGAGGAGAAGATATGTGCTTATAGTCAATAATCTTATTTCTTCTGCTCTGTGGCATAGATTGGCTTGTGTTGATCCTGCAGTTTCTTTTTTGACTAATGTCCAAAGATTTTTGGTGGATTATTTCAGGTACATGTTGCACTGGACTTCCTTAAAGAAGAGGCACTACAAGGTTTGGTGCCTCTAGCCAGTGGAGGCGCTCCTTCCATTTACAGTTCATACAGAAGCTCTTAATTGGACATAAAGACCTGGTGTGGAGACCCTTAGTGTGTTGCATTCTTCCACAGTTTGCTGGACTGGGACTTGACTTGCCTCTTTTCTTATTGGATTTCAAACAGATGAATGTTTCCTCTTTGCCTGTGTTCTATCGGAGTGTGTTCACAGCATGGACTCTGCTGAGAAAGCAGAGACAACATCAGACTGACTCTCTGTTTTCCCTGTTGAAAGAGCCTGTAATGTGTAGGGGTGGTTTGGATATCCCTAGCTGTGCTAGCTTGTCTAGATGGTTCCATACTGCCAGGATCTGTACTTTGGGACAGTAGTGGAGCTGACTGGACCCACGATGGATAATCCTGTACACCTGGGTGCTTGTTTGGGAATAAAATCTATGTGATCTATCGCCCACCTCAGTTCAATAAGGATTTTCTAGGTGCCTTTTCTGATTTTTTGGTCCACTTTATGCCTAGATATAACCAGGTTTTAATTATTGGGGATTTTAATATACATGTTTGCTGTCCTGACAAACCTTTAGTTAAGGCTTTTATAAATCTTATTAATTCTTTTAATCTTACACAATTTGTGGCTGATCCTACTCATGAGCACGGGCACACCTTGGACCTTGTCTTATCCTACGGTGTGCCAGTTTGTGAAATAGAAATCTGTGACGCTGTGTTTTCTGATCATTTGCCAGTGTTATTTGTGATTGACTACTTGTGATACAACCGCACCCTGCGCTACTCCGCAGCTCTGCCGTATGTTTAATTCTTCCACTTCTGCTCAGTTTTCTGCCTTCTTTAGTGAAAATCTTGCAATCTCTGACTCTGCGGACGCAGAGGATCTCGCATTAGATTTTCACTCTACCATTGATGCAGTGGTACCACTGAAGATTAGGCGGCCTAGGGCTAAGCTTGAGCCATGGATAAACAAAGAATCCCGCGCTGCCAGGCATGAGTGTCGCAGGGCTGAGTGCAGGTGGAGAAAGGACAAATTACAAGCATCATTTAAGATACTAAGAGACTCTTGGCATAGCTATCAAAAAACTGTGAAAAATCTTAAGAAAAATTATTTCTCTAATATCATTCAAACAAACTGTCATAAGCCTCATGTTTTGTTTAAAGTTATTGATTCAGTTTTGAATGTCCCTCAGGCTGCGTGTTTTGAGTCTTCCCCCACCCTCTGTCAGCAATTTATATACTTTTTTAACAGCAAGGTTATCTCTACCAGAGCTCAAATTTTATCTCCTGTTTATGATTTTTCTGCCTCTCGTCCTTTGTCTGTTTTTAAAAACTCATTTATTCTCGTTGGCATTTTGATATTTTATATTGGTGTTGATTTTATTTATTTTCATTGATTCATGTTTTATATTTTGGTGTCAATCTTATTTGTGCTTGTGGGTTGTGTCTTTGATTTATTGGTTATTGTAATTTACAGCACTTTGGTCCACCTTGGTTGTTTTAGTACTTTATAAATAAAGTTGGTATGGTATGGTATCATCTAACATCCCTGTGTCTTTTACTGGAAAGGATATTTTGTAGTTTTAGTGAGGTTTTTACAAAACAAGTTTTTATTTGTTTGGTCCCCATGAGAAAGGCCAAGTCCCCACAAACTGTAAACAGGTTTCACAGTATGATTAATGCCAGACACACACGCACACACACAGACAAACATGAATCAGCAGTTAATAACAAGAGTGGAAGCATAAACTGAAATTACTTTTCCCTTTCAGTGTGCTTATCACTTACTGATGAACCTCTCTAGCTCTTTCTGGAACTAACCTTCAACACATAATGACTAGTTTAAAATCTTATTAAATGTTATTCAACATGTCTCCCTCCTATTCTACATGCAGCCTTGCTCAAACTGCACCATCCCTGTAAAACAGAGCTCAGATAAAGATTTTACCCTCCATGGAGGACAGCACGAAGACACTGTCTCATCTCAGAGCCTAGTTAAGTCCTCAGATGTCTGACTTTCCTGTAAAAGTCACTGCATGAGATGAGTAAATGAAATGAAGAGAGTGAGAGAGAAATGGATGGCAGCATGCACAAACACTGCCCTTCACTCTAGACCTGATCACATCAGTGCAAAAAGCACGACGGGAGCCACGCTCCACACCAGACCAGATTTATTGAGCAGTTGAACAGGGACACTTTGTCGCTGCAGTCACTGAAGTTTTTGGCTAGAGAGGGATGTTTCTGTAGAAGCAGCATCAGTGTTCCACTCTGCCCTGTGCTACGTCTCCTCTGATTTAGAGCAGATGCTGCTACTTGTTCCTGAAGGTAATTAGATTAAAAGCCAAAGGAAATGCACAGTATAGAGGAGAGGGGGAGAGGCATGCATAGTGAAATGGAAATAATGCATTTGAGTGTGAGCTTTCCTAAAACAGTGCTTTAATGATCTGTTCTGTCTTCTTTATCTTTATTTATTTCATTTTAGGAGGAGGAAGAGCGAAGGAAACAAGAAAGGAGTATTGAGCGGATAGAGCCAGTAGGGAGGGCCGACTCCTCACTGGAGCATTCACCTATATTAAATCTAGAGTGAGTTGCCTCCCAACAACCCCTCAACCACTTACATGCCATACAGTATGTCTTAAAATGTTTCTTTACCTGAATTACAAGTTTGGGAAAACCAACCTTAATATATTTTTTCACTTACCTCTCCTGGTGCCTGGCCATCCAGATAGTGTTGGACTTATTCAGATATTGACATATTTGGTGCAATCGTATGTTATTTGCACTGCTCACAGTATTGAATAGTTACATTTAAAGAATAAATTTCCAGAAACACATCTGTATGTCACTAGAAGTATGTCAGAGAATTGTTGTGTTGTATTTTTGGTGAACATAATCTTCAGTGTATTCTAAATAACACAAGAAATGTGAATATTTGTGAGAACTTCACTATTAAATACTTAAACATAATCATACAAGAGCTTACATCAAGACCAAGGCTTTGTTTAATAAAACATCATCACTTGTGTTCCTTTGTCTTCACATCCTTATCTACACAAATTAACCTTGTCCTACCCCTCCCTCCTTTTTATGCTCATTTTCAATTAATTTATTTTCTTTTAGTGCAACTCTATGATTTTAATCACTTAATTGGATTCTGGGACCCTGATCAACCCCAGGGTCCACCTGCATGAATTCGTAATGGATGATTTTGTATAGACAACACAATGCAGCTTTCACTAATTGGGCCGTGCCGACCACCATTCCATACATTCCGCCAACTTGTCATGTTTGGCTGTCACCTTATGTATTCTGCTTTTTCCCCATGCTCTTGTCATTCTTTTATATTTTTTGTATTTTATTCATGCATATCTCCCCCTGCCTCCTTCTTCTCATCCTTTTGGCCTCAAACATCATCATCCCACAGTGGCATGCTCAAGCCGGTCAAAGTGTCCAATGAAGGGGGGCCCCTTGGGATCCATGTAGTACCTTTCGGTTCACAGAATATCAGGTAAAAGAAATGGGAATCAATGCAGCTTAGTGTATGTCTCCTGTACTCTTTAGTTTGCAGCTTAATTAAGGCCTATTTCAATGTTTTTTTTTATTTTTGTTTTTTCTTCTTCACCTCTTTTTATGTTTTAATCTAGTTTTTTTCATTTAATGTGATTTCTCTGGCAGTTTTTAATTTAATTAGATTTTATTTTGTGCTTATAACCTGTGTCACAATCAGTCAAACAAAACTTTATTTGTATAGCACCTTCCATTCATAGTTAGTACTGTTTATATGTATAAAACAGTATGTGTGTGTATGTATAGTTGAAAGTGTGTCTGAACTTGATTTAAGTTTTTATTTAAAAAGATAGAATGTATACTGTATCACAGAGAATAAATCATTTAAATGTAGTAACAGAAATGATTAAGCAGTGAAATAAACCAGAAAGACAATCAAAATCAAAAGCCAGGCTACAGAGGTAGGTTTAAAGTTTGCAATTTAAACCGTCAGCACTTTCAGCTGCTCTGAGCTCCTCAGGTAGGCTGTTACAACAACTCAAAGCATAAAACCTAAAAGCTGCCTCACCTATAGGTTTTGTACTGCACTTTGGAACAACTCAAACCTCAAAGTGTCGGAGGACGTGAGAGGCCTTACTGGGTCATACACTTGGAAGCCTGTCAGTCAAGCAGGCTGTTGCAAGACCATGAAATGCTTTAAAGACAACTCAAGGAATTTTAAAATCAATATGGAAACTGACAGGCAACCACAATAAGGAATTAAAACATGTTTTCTCTCCTTCTGGTCTTTATCAGCCTTCAGGCAGCAGAGTTCTGAACCAATTATAACTGATTTATAACTTTTTAGGTAGATCAGAGGGGTGAGTATTACTATAGTCCAGTCTGGTGAATATCAAAGTGTGCAATAGTTCCTCTGTATCACTCCAAGAGAGAACTGGATGCACTTTAGTGACATTTTTGACAGAATTTTTAAAATACTTGGCACACAGAAGTTGATAGTGTACAATAAGATGTTTTATAAAATACACAGTGATGGTGTGAGAGAGCCAGGCCAACAACATTTGACAAAGAGATGCTTATACCAACAACATTTCATACAACTAGACAAGTGTGATCTGAGCTATGAGTAGGTTTCACATTGTTTAAAATACATACAATTATTTAATTAGAATCTGCCTTATTGTCAACATGTATATTATAGCCCCTTAATTAAATACAGCTATATAATTTGCATGAGATAAATTCAGAATATTCAGTTACAAAATGGAGAAACAGAGTGTTGTAACTGCTAAAAGGGATGGGTGGCATTGCAGCATTACTGCACTATACTCAAAAGCAGACCAAGCTCCAAGGTCAACATCTCTATCCTTTAGTGTATCAGAAAATATCACAGCTGTTCCTGCCACCTTTCCTTCCCTCACTGCATGAAAGAGAGGAAGTATAGCACACATAAAGCATAAAGCATACAGCAGTTTGGAGGACAGGCTTCCTTTAGCGTGACTGGTGCATTCACACCAAACCAGTTCAGGTCATGTTCAGTAATATGTTCATTAATGCAGAAATCTTTGCTAGAGTTTGCTCTGTTCTGAAGTTGATTCAGACTGCTTCCTTTTGCCTTTTTTTAATTGTTGAGAAGTCTCAGTGACAGGGGGCAAGGTGCAATGCTTCCCAGTTTATGGTTATTCCAGAAAAAAAAGTACAGAGGAAGTGGCCAGATGTAATCAAACTAAAAGGTTGTATATAACACAGATCACTGATGCACGCCTGGCACACCACCAGGGTAAACTACTCACAATATTAAAAAAAAGCTGAGAAACCTCAAAAGTTTAGGTAATTAAGCTTAATACTCTAGATTTTCAGTTCAACCTTCTTGTTTATTTTTTCATTTTTCTTTGATCAGAGCCGAATAAATAACATTAAGTTACATTGTCACAATTCAGAATTTTTACTTGTTATTTTACTCAAAGTTAAATTAACTTACAATTACAATTTACAAATGACATAAAAAAAGACATCATGTCTAGCATGACAGCAGTTTCGGTAATCCCAAGATTATTATTCTTCAATATGACCCCCAAGACATTTAGTCAAGTGAACTTCTGATTTTATGTTAAACTGAGTTTATGAAACAAGTTTGTCTAACATGGCTTTTGACAGAATACATTAAATGGCACACTTTGTATTCCTGTATTCTTCAATGAACTCACACAGGTTTACAGATGTTTCTCAGTTTGTAATGAATCACAGAATAAGAGTCAAACTTATCAGGACACATTCACATTTGATGAAGTAAGAGGCAATTTGTTTTGTGAGCAAGATATTAATTTGTATATTACTTGCTGATAATTGAAGTTTTTAAGGCCTTATAACTTGTAACAGTTTTTTACAGTGCGAATAGGGAAGCTGGAGGATGAGATAAAAAGAACAAAATGAAATGGGATGACATTTGAGAAAGAAGACTGCTATATGTCAGTATCTTTAGACACTAATCCCATTATTGTTTAGAAGTGTGACACTGTATTTAGCTTTGACCTCATGTGATTGACTCTCTAACAAGCTGTGGCACTTTGCGTTATCCTGCGACTGACTATAAAAATAATGACTCATGATGAGTGGCACCAAACAAAATAAAGGGTTTATAAAAATTTAATGAGCAGTGCTGCATGACCAGTAAATTCCTTCTCCATCAGCTAAGGTCGGCACTAATAGCTATTAGAGCTTTCGGTTAACGTCAGACATGATGAGACTTAACGTCTGGTCAAGGATATAATGCTAATGGCCTCACCCAGCTCTTTCCTGTAGCAAGGAGAGGCTTTAGGCTCAGTGGGCTGTCATTAGTGTCTAGACCAGGGCCACAGGGGTCAGACGTGCAGCAAAACCAGACAGCAAATAAGGAGCTGCAGGCACTCCAGCATCGACTGCATGCATTCTGCTTCAGCACACTGACATCAAGTTAGATCCTAGCAAGAGGGGAAGACAGTGGCAGGAGAGAGCTTAGAGACTTTATGACTTCAGCAGAGAGTACCTTTATCACTCTCTCTCTCTCTGAATTTGTTGTATTTGGCACTATACAAACAGAATTGAATTCAACTGAATAACCCTTACAATAACCTTAAACCAAGTTGTCACCCTAAAATTCAGTGATTTTCCTGGGGACCAGCATATGGTCACCACAAGGAAGGTCGAGTCCCCACAATGTGAGTTTGTAAACCAGTTTCAATTCCTACAGTGCGAGGAATGCCAGGCGAGTGCACACACACACACGCACAGAGCCTTACCTGAACATTAATTTACCCTTATGCAATTGAAGAACAGTATCAGGTTTCTCTGAGGGGTGTGTGTTCATCACAGCCTCTTATTGTCAAGAGTTAGTGAACAGTGCTAATCTACCTTGAGTGCTGTATGCACACATACATATTCCGTATGTCTCCACACACACAAACACAAACCCTCGCAGATGCATTCTTTGCTTAATGAACTTCTCATTCATGACCAGTTTCAATTGTAAACAAACTGCGTACATAATTGCCGTGCATAAATGGATCCTGATTGGATTATTATTTGATTTCAGGCAGTGGATGTGAGCAGGTGGCCTCCTTCAAATCATTTCTCAGCACTGGTGCCCAGCTACAAGTTGGAGTAAAGCCATAGTACAATGCTGATTCTTGTGTTCTAGGATTTAGTAAGCCTTCTATTTTTCTCCAGAGTCAGCAGAAAATTTTCATTTTGTGTTTTCATTTATATCCGATACCTAATGAATACACCCAATGAGAATGCTATTTAGATTTTGCTTTAGCTGTCCTGCTATCCCCAGGTAACTGATTCTTATGTACAAAAATCCCATCAGTGAGATGATAAGGAATTGAGATGGTGGCGATGCATTACACTCTTAATAATTGTATTTTTATGAAATCGTCATCTTCTTCAAATCCCTGAAAGATGCCGCTTTATCTCTAATCCTTACTTCTGCTGCTTTGAATACTGATCAGGGATCAAACAAAACTCCTTCATCTACTGTCTCTGGTCCTCCACCAGATCAGAAACCATTAGATTGTTTCCTTGGTGTAATCTCCATGCACACTACTTTGTTTTCAAGCTGCAAACACTGATGGAGATAAGACACAATCATGGCAGCTTTCACAATACATGCAGTTATTCTTTGTTCAGCACACTTACTGGCAAGGCTGGCTCAGACACTGAGGGAGAGGGAAGGGCCTTTCATGATCTTTAATTTCAAGTTAATAGTGAACCACTTACCCCCACTGAGGAGCTGAGATTGGTCTGAGGTGTGAGCGTGGATGTCCACATTATGCAGCCAATTAGAATAATGTTCTGAAAGTGCCCCTGTTTGGCTGAAATGCTAAAGAGCTCTGCAAAACTGCCCTTGACATCTGCAGAAAACAGGGTCACAATTTAAATGTGCTGCTGTTAATGTGTTTAGTGAAATCATAGGAAATAACAGAGAATAATGAAAAACTCACAGCTTATCCCTACCACAGATAAGCCATCGATTGCAGTGAAGGTTCTGTATCTTTTTACATTTTAGTTGTTTTTTTGGCTCTGATATACAGTATTTCTTCATTATTTTTAATTTCCCAAAAGTAAGAAACCAAACTTTTTGTCAGCTTATGTAAGGTCACCCAGTGTTTGCACTCAGTCTACTTGTTTCCTCAGGCATCTGGTGCCTTAGAGACGAATGGAGTTTGTAGTGCACATCAGATATCGTTATCCTCAGGGCCTAACTAAGGAGCTCACTGTTGTATTTATTTGGGGGGGTGGGGGGTATTTCAAGGTAAATGTGTCTTCCTTTGAAAGGACTGCTGAGATGGCATTGCTGTGGAGCTGTTTGGGTATTTCTTACAGCAGTGCCGTATGTCATCTTAAGCTCTACTGAAGTCAACTGCAGCATTTCCCCAGAAGACTTAAGCTGATTTCGTAGCTGTTGCTCTGGATTACTTAAGACAACCTACCCTGTCATTCTGTCGGACCTGCCCACAGCGAGGCAGACAGATTGGAGGACAGAGGGCCAGATGACGCCTTAATATCAAGTTAGCAATGCAGTGCTTCTCTAGGCTGCAGTGACATGCAGGTCGTTATAAAAGCTTAAGTTCAAATTTTAAAAGTTAAGAGTAGAACACAAAAATAGAACTATTTAAAATAGGAACTGAATTAGAATATTTTATGATCGTTTAGACTTGTTCACTGATGAAGCCCACATAAAAATGGACTTGTACTTTCTTGATTGACTGTTGATTCATTTATTATACACCCCTAGGCATATTACTACAGTAACAACTGATAGAAACTGTAACTTAAATGAATTATAAATAAATTACTATTACAAATACCACCCAACTTACTGTATCATTAATACTCACTTCTTCCACTCTTACATATTCCTTCTGTTCTATATGGAGCCACTACTTTTTTAAATGTAAGGATGCAAGGTACAGGGCTTGCAACTTGCTGCCTGCTGTTCAGTGTACTGATTAGTGACAGTGTGTGTTGTGATTGAAATGGTACATGTCCAAAATGTGACCTGTTTTGTGATCATTTTGTGATCAAGGACTCAGGGCCTGCTAGTGACACGCCTGGAGCCGGGGGGCAAAGCGGAACAAGAGCGTCTCTTCCAGGAGAACGACTGCATAGTCAGGATAAATCGGGCCAACATTTGCGATCTGCGCTTCGAACAGTAAGTTCCGAAGTTGGCCCTATATTGACGAACATTTTTTTTAATGCTGTATTGTTTTACATGTAGTCGATGGTTATTTTTCCATTTTGTAAATTCTAATATTTCTACTTCCACTAGATTTTCAAATAATTTCAGTTTCTTCTCTTGTTGTGAGGTGTGAGGAATGCCATGCTGATTTAAATTTCTGTTCATTGCAAGGCTAGGACACATGCAGTGTTATCCTGGAGCACTCTCTACTGTGTGATACAGTGAGAGCACTATGTTGGCCACTGAGTGCAATGACAGTAAATAGTGTTGCTGTTAATAAGTGTAGCCCAAACCGCAAGAAGACATGTCACAAATGCACAATAAAATGGAATTATTGCTGACTTGTTGGCCTCCCTGTAATAAATGTCAGGGAGCCCCCAGTCCTTCATGACTGCTTTGCCTTCTGATGTGAAACCACTGACACTTTTCTTTTGATTCTTTCAGTACACTGCTTACCTTCACTTCCTGAAGCTGTTAAGTTCAAATTTTAAAAGTTAAGAGTAGAACACAAAAATAGAACTATTTAAAATAGGAACTGAATTAGAATATTTTATGATCGTTTAGACTTGTTCACTGATGAAGCCCACATAAAAATGGACTTGTACTTTCTTGATTGACTGTTGATTCATTTATTATACACCCCTAGGCATATTACTACAGTAACAACTGATAGAAACTGTAACTTAAATGAATTATAAATAAATTACTATTACAAATACCACCCAACTTACTGTATCATTAATACTCACTTCTTCCACTCTTACATATTCCTTCTGTTCTATATGGAGCCACTACTTTTTTAAATGTAAGGATGCAAGGTACAGGGCTTGCAACTTGCTGCCTGCTGTTCAGTGTACTGATTAGTGACAGTGTGTGTTGTGATTGAAATGGTACATGTCCAAAATGTGACCTGTTTTGTGATCATTTTGTGATCAAGGACTCAGGGCCTGCTAGTGACACGCCTGGAGCCGGGGGGCAAAGCGGAACAAGAGCGTCTCTTCCAGGAGAACGACTGCATAGTCAGGATAAATCGGGCCAACATTTGCGATCTGCGCTTCGAACAGTAAGTTCCGAAGTTGGCCCTATATTGACGAACATTTTTTTTAATGCTGTATTGTTTTACATGTAGTCGATGGTTATTTTTCCATTTTGTAAATTCTAATATTTCTACTTCCACTAGATTTTCAAATAATTTCAGTTTCTTCTCTTGTTGTGAGGTGTGAGGAATGCCATGCTGATTTAAATTTCTGTTCATTGCAAGGCTAGGACACATGCAGTGTTATCCTGGAGCACTCTCTACTGTGTGATACAGTGAGAGCACTATGTTGGCCACTGAGTGCAATGACAGTAAATAGTGTTGCTGTTAATAAGTGTAGCCCAAACCGCAAGAAGACATGTCACAAATGCACAATAAAATGGAATTATTGCTGACTTGTTGGCCTCCCTGTAATAAATGTCAGGGAGCCCCCAGTCCTTCATGACTGCTTTGCCTTCTGATGTGAAACCACTGACACTTTTCTTTTGATTCTTTCAGTACACTGCTTACCTTCACTTCCTGAAGCTGAATGAAAGTAAAATAATTTATCCAAAGCAACCCTTCTTTCTCACATTCACATGGCCTGCATGTGTGAGCCCTCACACATACTTACACATGCTCTGATGCATTGACATGAAGCTGTAAAGTCTTATCTACAACCAGCGTGTGTCTGGGTGTGTTTGCATGTGTGTGTGCCAGGTTAAGAAATAGATTGCTTTTCCTCCAGGCTGGATTCTGGAGGCAGCATATGGAGACGGTCTGATTGGCTCTCTCCCTTATCATTCACTCCTCCACAGAAAGAAATAACCTAAATTTCTGCTAACAAGGGTCAAGCTTACAGTCATACTGGGATGGACATAGTAATCTTAACCACTCTGCATTCAGAAGTAGAGTCACAAACTACCCATTTGTTCCTGAAAAAGTATCACTATCAAAATGTGTTTTAATCAAAGCATGTCAAATAGTTTATAACTGATTTTGGCAAAGATAAGACAAGCTCTTCATGTCCTTGGAAAACTCTAGACTGTCAGTTACCTTACCTAACATTATGGTAATTTGTTCATTAGACTCTGTACAAACTTTTTTTCCCCCTTTCCTTTTTAAAATAATGTTATTGTCATTAGTAAACATCTCAGTTCAGTCCCAGCCTTTCTTTTGTGAAGAGGCCTTTGAACCAAACTCACAAGAGAGTTATGTTTTGTAGTACTGCACACAAACACACACTCCTCACCATTATCCACTGCAAATGCATATGATGTTTTTGCCATAAAATTATGTGTAGGAGCTAAAACTTTCATCTCTGTCTGTCCCTCTTGCTCGCTCATCACCTCCTCCACCCCTTTATTGTGTACCTCACAGAATGACAATTTAAAGTCATAGTCTAATCTCTTTGGATTGTTTTGCATGGGTAAATACTTTGAAGGTGCTTAATCTAACTGAATGTAATGATGCATAGATGGGGTAATTTATTATTCAATCAGGCCTGTGTGGAGGCTGATTGCTGAAGCGGTGGCACTGTATATGTGCATGTGGGAGCATTTGCACACAACATACTTACTCAGTCATCATCCCTCAGTGTGCAAATGTGAGTGATTTTTGTAAATTACCACAAGAATAATGATGGGAGAAACCAAATCCCACAGGAGCGCCTTGGATCGGCATGCAAACGAAATGCTGTTTGTTGTGGTAGAAACAACCAAGTGGCTGTCATTTTGATGGACTCGGCATAGTGTTATTGGTGTGGCAATGGAGGTCTGGAAACAAGAGTTGGGGTTTTTGGGATCCTGACATCCACTATCCTCTGTGCCCATATGTTGCTGCTTTGCCTGCTCTGGCAATCAAGTCTATATGCTAAGTGCTGTTGGCAAACCATACTAAACAATTCTTGTGTCTGGGAATGATGTTGAGCTCTTGCCTTAGCTTACTTGGCCTCAAAACTTTCACAAGACCCTGTGTGTGTTTTGTTCATTTTGTATGTAAGGAATGAAGTGTGTGTCTACAGTACATAGACTGGAACCTCATTGTCTGAATTGATGTTGTGATGCATCATTTCTGATTTGATTGTTGAGTCAACTCATGTCCATTCAACTCTCACCACACACAAACATGGAGACGACCATAGTGTAGGCAAACTTAGACATTCTACAGCTCCCTGGCATAACATAGAACACACAATATACTGTATCATATTTCAGCACTTATTCTACATTCACCCTCCCCATCTCTTTCCATTCTTGATGCTGGTCAATGTAGACAATATATTTTCTGTTCTCTGCTGTTACACAGTGAGTAGCCTAACTCAACTCTTCTTATTGCCTTTCAATGCATCTTTTACCCTTCTATATACAGTACGTTGTTAAATCTCTGTTAATGATTAGGCATGGCCTTCACACTCTCACTCTCTCTCTATCACTTTCAGAGCCCAGAACATTTTCAGGCAGGCGATGCGTTCCAAGGTCATCCTTTTTCACGTGGTCCCTGCGGCCATGAAGAGGGAGTATGAACTGCTGTCAGCACAGAGTGAGCTCAGCCCTCCCCAGTCCTACAGAGTCCGCTTTAGTCAGGACTTTGAGCAGCCGAGGGACAGGTCCAGTCTGGTGGGGGCACTGGTGTCCAAGTCTGGAACACAATCTGACCTCAAACTCAAGTGGGTTTGATACTCCTTTTGTTTCTGTATAAAAGTTGTCTTGCCCTTTTGGCACCCCCAACAACAATTTGTTTGGTGAAAAGATATTCAAATGGCACATGCATCAAAAAAGTGTCACTGAATGGCTGAATGTTGTTCAGCCAAACACGACAAACCGGAAATGTCAAAGGAACTAAACTAGTTTTCCTTTCCACCATATTGCCTTAAACCTTGATTTCTGTCTTGTAGCCACCAGAGCCCTTTGGCAAGAAGCACCCCAGATCCGGGCCAACGGTATGTCATGTTACCTCACATCTTGGTCTCCAGGACTGCATCAGCCTCTTCCCCCTCCCTGCAAAGGAGGATAAGCACAAACACATCCACTGGCTCCTATGTAAAGAAAAAAGGCCGCAGATTTAACATGCACCTGAAGAAAGGTAAGAACCTGCAGATACATGAAATGAGAATAATGAGAATAGTAATCAAATTAATGATGTGAGTAAAATTAACAGGTGGCAAGAAAAACTGAATAGTTTGACTGTCTGTCACCACTCCTCAGTGAGACAAAGGGAACAAAGGGCCACCACATCGTCTGTATTGAGGGAGACATAAAACAAACATAAATCTCTCAGGAAAATTTCAGAATTATCTTCTTTCTTCTGAACTTTGCTTATACAAATATTGATCAGCCTTTTTGTGAAAGCAGAATTTATTTTTTTACTTTTATATTTTTTATGCATTTGGACTTCATCACTACGGTGTTGTGGCTAAAATGAGATTCAGCATTCAGCCTGTTACCTGATAGAAGCCTTTGATAAAATCAAAACTTGATACTGGAGCAGCTGTATGTGTTCATAGTGCGTTTACTGCGAGGGACCATTGCATTTTCGTCACTTCGCTATTTCTACATGTATTGCCAAGCATTTGGTTGAGAAAAAAACAGTGCTGAGGTTGTTTCCCCACTCTCTTTCTTCTTTTAAAATCTTTTATAAATCCTTTTTTTCTGTTGGATTGAGCAGATGTTTAGTTGAAAGCTGTCACCGAGGCCGGAGCAACGAGCTTCAGGGAATAGTGAAGCAAGCGAGGGCAGCAGTGCGGGCTAAATTCAACACCCTCTGGGGAAACGCAGTCACAGAATCGAAGGTTCTGAATTCTTATACAGTGTGGAGCTGCAGTGCAAGTTATATTTATTTGTTTATATTGGGATAAAGTTCCTCTTTTTTTTGTTTACACAGAACCCTCTCATTTTAGTGAAACCAAGCCAGGAAGATGCTGGTTGAGCTCCAGCAGGAGACCGATGCCAGTAGTTTAATTTATTTTCACTAACCACGTTGATTTACGGTCTAATGCAAGACCACTCATAATTCTCAAAAGTATGCTCTTGCCCAAGTGACAGAAATAAGATTGTTGTTCATTGTTAAATTTAAATAGGCTTACTGAAATGGATGTGCTGGATTCTATACTTCAGTTCATGTGTAAACCTTTATTGGAAATGAATTATTATTGGAATGTTGCTGAATTGAAAATTCAACTGAACACTAAAATCTGCCAAGGGAAATGTGCATCTGTAATCATTTCTGACAGTTCCATTTGATTACTATCAGACTGCTGATCTACTTTTAGACAGGCCTCAGCAGCTTTGTTGTTGACTCATTGTAATTGAAGTGATTCAGCATTAAATGGTACTGGGTTCCAAGTGATAGGGGCAGATCTTGCATGGCGAATTAACAAGAATGCCTTAATCAAATACTGCAGTCAAAAAGGATATACACAGTTGCTCTAATGTGTCACAGTCTCTCCTCACATGTGCTGTTTAATTGGCTTACTGGATCCAGAAATCTAACTAATCCAAACAAGATACAATTACTTTTACCCCAGTCTTCTGTTACTCATAATAAAGACATCAATGGTTAATTAATGCAGGCCTATTAGAGATGGATTGTCCTAATTGCCTGATTGGAAACCATTAACAATGGGATCTTATTATGGGCAGGAGTTGGATTCTGTTCATTAGGCTGTGTGCAGGAATAGGGATAGTAGAGGGACTGGCATGGGAGGGAGGTCACTGTGGAAAGTTGAATAAAGACCTTGATGTAGAGGTTTTGAAGGGGGCACCATAATATTCAGCTTGTTCAGACATGAAACTGCCATTGTGATGTCATAGGTCATGAAGTAGGATCGACAAAACTTTATTTTGACATCTGTAAAATCAGTCACTTATTTAGTTAGAATTGAAATTGGCATCATTTGTTTTTTAATTCTATATTTACAGTTTCATTTTGAGTATAGCACCTGGTACTGATGGTAGCCTGTGTAACCTTCTATTAAAAGTTTGACACTGCAGATTTAACATTAAACATTTACAAGGACAGATATGACAGCTTTGTGCTGCATTGATGGAGAGATCGCAGCACATCATTATCCTCAAAAGCTCAACTTTCTGAATTTATAAGAAACCTCTTCCTCACCTTTGTGAAAGTTATTTTGTGTGCAGAAGCCATGAGAAAGTTGCCATCATGCATCTTTTTCTTTCTGACTCATCACCACCGTCACTGTCAGCAAGTTGACAAACAGTTCAGCAGACTGCTAGAGAGACATACTGGGAAAAGTAGGTCATGATGAGCCATCAGAGGTTCTGACAGGAATGAGCAGCCACTTTCACATGAATACTAATCACTGTTGTCACCAGAAAGGCCTAAACTGAAACCACATAATGCAAGTTTCTCACTTTACCAGAAGCACACCTAGCTAGGTTATGCATGGTGGAATCTATCTCTCTGAACGCTGCTCTTTATGAGTTGTCTAACAGCATTATGTAGCAGTGCTGTTCAATTTTTAAATATACTGTCAACGAATAACCCAATTAATACTGTTTACTTGGTTTACCTCATTCTTCATCTGACAGTTGTCAAATTTGGGTGTGGTCAGCAGTAAAGGTCAGCTCTCTTATTTATTTTTGATTTGGCAATCCTCTTATTTATCATTTTTGTATTTGCCTATTTCTTTCTGACCACCAATTCAAATTCATTTAATGAACCTTAAAGGTCAGTCTTAAAACCTAAGGTAAAGGGCTTTGCACAGCTGATATCTGAAGTGTTTCTCAGATTCACTTATTGAATTTAGCTGCACCACTCCCTGCGCATTAAAAAGGCATGTAGCTCTTCCACAGGGCTACATATTCCTACTTATCTCATTTCACAATGAGCATTCCTTTGTCTGTCTGCATTGTTTACTGCTGTTTATACTGCTTATTTTGCATTTTTTGAAGTGTTTGTTGCTGTTAATGCTGCTTATTACTGTACATTTATAAAATCATGTGGCAGTGTTGAAACGTGTTATAAAACATAAAAACATGCATGTTATTTATGTCCCCCTCTTTACATGGTCATAAGAGACTGTCCTGTTAGGTGCTATAGCTTGGTGACATCTAGTGACAGTGTTATTTTTGACATGAGGAAAGGCATAAGTAAGTTGTCACGTGGTGCGTAACAAAGACATTCATTCAGACATAACATTCTAACACAAGATTTAATACAAGAAAACAATTGGTGCCATGGTTCACTTTTCAGAATCAACACTCTGTCTGCTAACATTGAAACAGAACAGACTAAAGCAGACTTTGAATCTTAATAAATTGCATTACTAACACATTAAGGTCTAACAATTACTAATATCTAACAGGATGTTATGTGGTAAACCTTTGACGTTTGACCTATTTTTAGGAAGAAGAAAAGAAAAAAACTATAAACAGTTTTAAAAAATGTTCATTTGTTTTCCTAGGTCCAGAGGGACTTGGGTTCAGCATCACATCCAGAGACATCCCGATTGGTGGCAGTGCTCCCATTTATGTCAAAAACATCCTTCCTCGGGGGGCCGCCATCCAAGATGGCCGACTGAAAGCTGGAGACCGGCTGCTGGAGGTGGGGCAGCGCTTTGAAGAACCTCTAACCATTATGTGGTCTCACCTTGTGAGACTGTATGCTATTTCAGAAACTAAGAGAGGGATTTATTAAACCTGTTGCAAATCACCTTCAGCTGCACCAAATACTGCAGCAGAGCAGGTTTTCAGTTTAGCTGCATATTCGCCAATACTGATGTTGTAAATGAACACAATTGCGGCAATGTTAATTTGAATACATGGCCGCTTATAAAGAACTGCTGCCTGTATTGTGTTCATATGAACCAGGAGGGAGTTTAGAAGAAAGTGTACATTTATAGCAACTGAACTTTAATATGATTGAAGAAAACAAACATATTTCAGAGCAGTGTCTTCTGCTAGTCACATCATTGTTTATTTGGTAGGTAGGTAGGTAGGTACTTTATTGATCCCTCAATGGGGAAATTTCAGTGTTTCAGCAGCAATGGAGAATAAACAACTGATGGCACTGATGGCATTTGTATAAATTTTCATTCTCTCCTCCCTTATTTTTGCACCCTTGAATGGGAACACCTTAAAATATATATTGTATGAGCAAATGTGCAGATTCCAGCGGTGCCACTTTCTTTCTTTTTCTCTGACACAAAACCCCATTGTGACTCCTTAGAAAATATCAACACACAACTTTACTGTTACAAAACCTGAGCCACAAAACCTTGGCAAATATGTCCTTAATTGTGTATCTGCAGGTTAATGGGGTGGATCTTAATGGTAAGACTCAGGAAGAGGTGGTGGCCCTGCTACGAGCAACACCCATGGGTGGGACTGTGAACCTAATGGTTATTCGCCAGGAGGACTCCCTGCTGCCTCGAGAAGTGGTCAGTTACCAGTCATCACATACAGTGGGGCAAATAAGTATTTGATACTCCGCCGATTTTTCAAGTTTTCCCAATTACAGCAAATGGACAGATCTGTAATTTTCATCGTAGGTACACCTCAACTGTGAGAGACAGAACCTACAAAAATATTCCAGAAAATAACATTGTTAGATTTTTAAATAATTTATTTCCATTTTATTGCATGAAATAAGTATTTGATCACCTACCAACCAGCAAGAATTCTGGCTCTCACAGACCTGTTAGTTTGTCTTTAAGAAGCCCTCCTATCCTCCACTTATTGCCTGTATTAATTGCACCTGTTTGAACTCGTTACCTGTATAAAAGACACCTGTCCACACACTCAGTCTGTCAGAATCCAACTTCTCCACTATGGGCAAGACCAAAGAGCTGTCTAAGGACACTAGGGACAAAATTGTAGACCTGCACAAGGCTGGGATGGGCTACAGGACAATAGGCAAACAGCTTGGTGAGAAGGCAACAACTGTTGGCGCAATTATTAGAAAATGGAAGAAATTCAAGATGACTGTCAATCTCCTTTGGACTAGGGCTTCTTGCAAGATCTCGCCTCGTGGAGTATCAGTGATCCTTAGAACGGTGAGTGATCAGCCTAGAACTACACGGGAGGACCTGGTCAATGACCTCAAGAGAGCTGGAACCACAGTCTCAACGGTTACCATTAGTAACACACTACACCGTCATGGCTTAAAATCCTGCAGCGCACGCAAAGTCCCTCTGCTCAAGCCAGCAGATTTCCAGGCCCGTCTAAAGTTTGCCAAAGACCATCTGGATGATCCAGAGGAGGCATGGGAGAAGGTCACGTGGTCAGATGAGACCAAAATAGAAGTTTTTGGTATAAACTACACTCGCCGTGTTTGGAGAAAGAAGAAGGATGAGTACAATCCCAAGAACACCATCCCAACCATGAAGCATGGGGATGGAAACATCATGCTTTGGGGGTGCTCTTCTGCAGAGGGGACAGGACGACTGCACCGTATTGAGGAGAGGATGGAAGGGGCCATGTATCGTGAGATTTTGGGCAACAACCTCCTTCCCTCAGTAAGAGCATTGAAGATGGGTCGTGGCTGGGTCTTCCAGCATGACAATCGCCCCAAACACACAGCCAGGGCAACTAAGGAGTGGCTCTGTAAGAAGACCTGTATGGTGGAGCGGGCCAAAATCCCTGCTGCAGTGTGTGCAAACCTGATCAAGAACTAAGGAAACATCTGACCTCTGTAACTGTAAACAAAGGTTTTGGTACCAAATATTAAGTTCTGTTTTTTTTACTGTATCAAATACTTATTTCATGCAATAAAATGGAAATAAATGATTTAAACATCTAACAATGTGATTTTCTGGAATTTTTTTGTAGATTCTGTTTCTCACAGTTGAGGTGTACCTACGATAAAAATTACAGACAATTACAGAACTGTCCAATCTTTGTAAGTGGGAAAATCGGCAGTGTATCAAATACTTATTTGCCCCACTGTAACCTCATATTTTCACCGCTGCTTTGCCACAAAGAACCAAAGATTCCTCTTTAACAGCTGCACCTTTGGGGTGTTTTTACACACAACATGAACTGCCTATACAGTATCAACATCATATGCAAACACAACACTTGATGATTATGTGTACAGCACAAAAATATGGTTTACTTAGTTTAGTTACTCTTGAACTTCTTCAGTCCATCACCTTCTCTGTCTCTGTTTTCATAATGTTGTCTGCACTGAAACATTTTTGTGTCTTTCCCAGCCAAAATACAATTTCAACTCAGCACGATAGAAAAGAGACAGTCCCTAACAGGCTCTGTTACTCTCTGTATAGTACCTCTGACTTCTGCATTTCAGGGCCAGTCTTGGCCAAAAAGACACACTCTCTCTTCTAAAAATTATGTTCCTATATAGCCTATGTAACTAAACTGCAAAGGCTGATACATTTTGTAGTGAATGTTTTTGATTATTAGATTGTATTTCCTGCATTTTCCTACACTACAGCAGCAGGAAAAGGTGATTAAGAGAGTATGGTGGAAGCACAGTGAGCAATGTTGTCACATCAGCAGCTCAAATTTGGTTCTGAAATCTGTACTAACATTTAATTTGAAGCCATTTTTAAGTTTTGCTTTCTCTAAACCAAGCAGTGTGAGTCAACACATAACCATAATGAAACACTGCCTTTGAGCAGAAGCTCTGTAGCTCATTCAGTTCAGCAGCCTCTCTCATCAGTGAGCTAGTTTGTGTCACTGGCAGCAGCAGTGGTCACGGTGTTGTGTTTGAGAGAAATGTAGAGAAGGCTAGTTTAGCTCTGGACACACTCCGCAGATAGTGTTTGTATTTTCATCACTTCAGTTTTTATGCTCTTGTTCCTCCATAGGTTTATTTGCTTGATCTGTGTAACAGTGTCTATGCAGCACAGCTTTAGTGTGTGTGTGTGTGTGTGTGTGTGTGTGTGTGTGTGTGCGTGCACACATGGTAGAGTGCTTCGTTTGGTGTGTTACATTACACTACTAGTTCGTTATGTAATGGTTTTTATTTCACAAAGCAGGCACTGCCCCTGACTTAAATCATAGTAACAGCAGAGCTCCCAGTTGGCTGGTTCTCAGCTGGAGAATCCACCAGAGCTCTCATGCAATGGCCCCAGTACAAGCCCAACCCCACGCCCAACCCCACCCCCCGCCAACAGCAGGCTCCCAGGGCTCATGAGAAGGCAGCAGTCAGTAATAGACATGGATGAGTTTGTCCCAGTTTTTTGTACAGAAAAAAAAACAAGGCTCTTGCTCTAATGTGGTAATAAATATGAATGGGAAAAAGTGAAATGGTGACAAGTTCATGGTAGGGAGTATTAAAAACATAAAAAGTTTGTAGTTAAAATTTTTCAAAGTAAACTGTAGTGTTCATGTATGTTCAGTTTTGTTCAAGCACTTCAAGTTAATTGTTATTCAACTTAGGTAAATCTACATGTCTACACCTTTTTCTGAACTTAAGCATCAGCCTCCAGAATGTCTGTTCATGGCCCTGTTGCTGTGTTTCTGTACTCGCAGTAAATAAAGGATGATTTTTAATTCCCCAAAATTAACAATTCTATAACTCTATAGGTGTAGAGGGGAGGGAACAGGGTTGGATTACCATGGAGATGGAGGGTGTTGATGAGAGAGAGCTGTCTGAACTGAATGAGGTGCACACTGTACTCACTCCAAGCTGTGCAGGGGTTGTGTTATTATGAGAAAATTAAAACAAGAAAATACAGTACATTGTAATAATGTCCCTGGTAGGCTAGTGGTTAAGGTGCAGCGCCCTCGCCGTGGCACCCCGGGTTCGAATCAGGGTTGCGTCAGGAAGGGCATCTGGCGTAAAACACGTGCCAAATGTCAACATGCGAATTGTCAGTGTGACGATTCGCTGTGGCGACCCCTAAACGGGAAAAGCCGAAAGTGACTTTCACAGTACATTCTAATAACATGAAAGTATCTCGTAAAAATTTACAAAGTATCTGGTTATAATGAAAAAAGTTTCTCGTTAAAACAAGATTTACGCTGCCATAGGCCGTTCTTGTGCGTACTTTGAAATGTAATCCTGCAGAAATGTAGTCACTGCAGTCAACTCCTGCTTCACTTTGCAGACTTGAATGTTTTTCTGTACACAAACAGCTGAGCTGTTGCACACTGATTCACACTTTTCATAGTGAAACCAATAAGAACAAAACGGTTGTGATCAAGATGGACACAGCGATGTTACTGGGATTTAATGAATTTTAGGATGAATATTTGAGTGCAAAGTAGGCATCATGTGTGTGATGCCATAAAAACACAAAGTATTGTAGTTGTTTATTTCCCCCAGTGTTAACATCATATAACTTCAAAGGAGGCTTAGAACAGGTTATTCATGATGCCTATGTTCGTCTCCATGGCCCCTCCTGGAGAATACACTAGTTTGTCAGTCTGGATGATCTGAGTTTCATTCTGTCATGTCTTTTGTAAACAGAGTCTGTAGCTGACACTAAACTGTGTCACTGTGAACTATCAGTGTCATTATATTTATGCTTGAACAAAACATGCAAACACTCACAGGTGCCATTTGTGCATCAGAGCAGTTTAGTTGCATAGGCTATAAACTAGTAATCCGTATGTTAAGACAGTGCATTGATGCCCGGCCGTTAAACCCTCATTCTGTCCCTTGTGTTTTAATGAGGCTGTATTGACATTATCATTTTACAAAGTCCACATAACTGCGGGGTTGTGATATATCAGATTTCAAATGTTCACAAAGAATTTTTTCTTCATTCTAGCATACGTACTTTACTTATTATTTCTTAACACAACTTAAGCATGTTAACAATGTTTAATGGGTCTTTGACTAGAAATATGAAACCCACTGTAACACGTAATAATTATTTATCTGGTGCAGTACCTGGATAAGGATTGTGGTCAGAGTTCTATTGTATAAACTATGGCTTAAACAAAGATACAACTCTGCATGTGAATACAGTACTTCAGGCAGTTACGCTCGGCGTTGTGTTTTTGAGAACAAATTGCCATCTAGTGGTGACACCGTGAAAATCAAGGAATAGCTTTTTAACGGGTGTGTTTACTGTGGAATCTATACTCACCTTATCAACAGGAGAAGGGGGGCTCCTGGAAGGCTGATAGGAACTGCACACCAGCTGCACAGCAGCTGAAAGCCATTCAGTTGGGAAGCACAGTTCTCAGTGGCTGCATCTGTACATACACAGACACCCTCAAATGATGGGTTCGAACAAGCACAGAATATAAGATATTCCCACAATCACACACATGCATTGCGAAACTGGCATGGACACATTCCCCCACACACTCTCTCACTCAGAGACACAGCCTACATACAGGGTGACTTTGGCTGTTGCACAACAGATGGTGAGGCTGCTGCCCTCATCCAGCTTGTGCTCAGTGACTCTGACAGCAGTTTCTTGGGTGTCACTGCACCTTGGCAGACCAGAGAGCCCTGATG